TTTAAAACGTTCCCGTAAACTTCCTAAAATTTCGGCGGAAGTAACATTTTCTGTAGTTGGCACAACAAGTTCTCCAGGTAGACGCAAATTTTGGCCAAAAAGCATTTCAGCTGGAGTGGCTGCAATATCTTCTTTGTACACTAAACGCAAACCAAGAAGAATAATCGGTAGCTCATCGTACCAATCTCTAGTTCCATTCCTAGCCAAAATTGAAGTTTTCAATTGTCTATGAAATCGTTCCACAATACCATTACTTTGAGGATGATAGGAAGAAGTTGTGATATGATGACTACCAAGTAATTTAGTAAGTTCCGAAAATAATTTGGACGTAAATTGAGTACCCTGATCCGTCGTGATTTCTAAAGGCACACCGAAACGCGAAACATATTCATTAAAAAATTTATTTGCAACTGTCTGCGCAGAGATATCCTTTACAGCATATGCTTCCGGCCAACGAGTAAATCTATCCATAATTGTTAAAATGTAGCGGTAACCTCTTGAAACAGGAAGCGGTCCAACAATATCTAAATGTATATGTTCAAATCTGCTCTTCGGAATTGGAATTGTGCTCACAGGAGATTTTGTGTGACGATAAACTTTAGATTTCTGGCAACTTATACATCCTTTTGACCATATGTTTATCTCCTTGTTCATACAAGGCCAATAATACTTCTTCACAATTAATCGGCGTGTAGCCTTGGTACCAGGATGAGCAATTCCATGTAACATATCGAACACTGTCCTGCGCAAATTAATTGGAACGAAAGGTCTAGGACTTTCTCCTGACACTTCACACCAAATATTAAAATTTAGAATAGGAATTTTAATTAAATTAAGATTTTGAAACGTTTTTCCAGAAATAAGTATATTAAGTTCACTGTCCTGTTGCTGTTCACTCTGTAAAATTTTGAAATTAAGTTCTGAATTTTTAATCACATCTATTTCAAACGCACGAGATAACGTGTCAGCTACAATGTTGGTCTGTCCTTTAATATACTGAATGTCACTAGTAAACTGTGCAATAAACTCAAGATGCCTTGTCTGTCTTGGACTACGCTCAGTTTTGGAATTTAGAACAAAAATCAAGGGTTTGTGGTCAGTAAAAACCGTAAACTGTCTTCATTCTAATAAATACCGAAAATGTTTAATATTCAAATAAATTGCTAAAAGTTCCCTGTCAAAAGCACTATATTTCATTTCTGCTGGAGAGAGTTTCTTTGAAAAGAACGCAAGTGGTTCAGACTTATTATTGAAATGCTGCTGTATGACACCACCAATTGCTGTATTGGATGCATCTACCCTTAAAGACAATTTTGCATCTTTACTAAAATGATTTAGCAAAATCTTAGATGCAAACTTCTCTTTAATGCATTCAAAAGCTTTAATGGATTTGTCATCCCAAACCAAAATTTTGTCTCGCTTTTTACTTGTTTTATTAATTAAATCATATATAACTCCAGTAAACTCAGCTAATTTTGAAATATATCTATGGTAATAGTTAACCATACCAATACACTTTTGCGCTTGTTTTATTGACTTCGGTCGTTCAAAATTGCGAATCGCTTCTACTCTGTTTACAGAAGGCTGTATCCCTGCCTCAGATAAACAATGTCCTAAAAAATCTATACTTGGAACACCAAAAATGCATTTGCTTGGTTTGACGTTCAAACCATACTCAGACAAACGTTCGAAAAGTACCCGTAGATCCTTTAAATGTTGTTCTTCACTCTCACTTGCAACCAGTAGATCATCAATATACGCGAAAACAAAATCTAATTTACCTACTACTTCGTTGATGAATCTCTGAAACGTTTGCGCTGAGTTCCTCAGCCCGAAAGGCATTTGGGTGAACTCAAACATACCGAAAGGAGTAGTAATCGCCGTTTTAAAAATGTCTTCTTCTGCCATTGGAATTTGGTGATACGCTCTAACTAAATCTAACTTTGAAAATATATTTTTATTCCTAAGGTTCATATTAAAATCGTGAATATGAGGCAAAGGATAACGATCCGGTACAGTCACATTATTAAGTCTTCTAAAATCACCACAAGGACGCCAGTCATTAACTTCTTTCTTTGGTACTAAATGAAGTGGAGATGCCACGGATGAATTTGATGGTCTACAAATCCCTGTTTTTACCAAAAAATCGAATTCAGTTTTAGCTACTTCAAATTTGATAGGATCTAAGCGCCTTGGCTTAGAAAAAGGAAGGTTTTCTTCAGTGACAAGTCTGTGAACCGTTGTATGCTTAACCGGTTTTGAGTAATCTAGCTCAGAAATAAGGGAAGGAAACTCCTTCAATAATTATGTATATTGATCTACTGAAAAAATGTTTGGAAGAGGAATATTGCAAAAGTACGAAATTGTATTAACTGATAGATTTGTTAACGGATCTACTAAACACTTGTTTTTAATATCAAAAAGAAGTCCATATTTACACAAAAAATCAGCTCCTATAATCGGCTTCGCAATATCAGCAATCAAAAATGTAAAAAGGAACTCACGCCTTAAACCCAAATTAATATTCAAAAGTTTCTTCCCGTATGTAAAAATAGTTGAGCCGTTAGCTGCCGTTAAAATTATATCTGAAGATTTCCTAGTATTCGAAAATTTAGAAACTGGAAGTACCGAAATTTCTGCTCCGCTATCAATTAAAAAATTTAGTTTGTTTGTTTTATCAAATATAAAAAGGCGACGTGTGGAAATGTCCGAATTCCCGTTGTTTGTCGCCGCAACAACGGACGACTTTAGTTTGTTGGACTATTATTTTTCGAAAATGCACATGGTTGTTCACATTTTTTAGCCTTGTTTCCAAATTTATAATGATATCTACATAACCAATTCGAATTGTCGCGTGATTTTGATCGATATCTAAAAGGGCTCCTAAAACGATTCCTATTCACTCATCGTGACCTTGAATAATTTTGATTCATTTCCCTCCTCATTTCACATAATTCCAAAGAAAGTTTTTCAAAATTTTTAAAAATAAGAGAAGTAGTGTTAACCAAATTAGCCATGACTGCATTTTCACCTTTTGAATTTTGAAAATCATTAACTGAAGCTATCTCGCTTTTACTAATAATCTCCCAAACATTATCAGCCAATTTCGTCAATTCACTAATACTGCTTGAATTAGAACTAGCTAAAATCACACTTAGGTTCTTCGGTAACTTCCTCATCCAAAGTTTCTTAAGAATTTCTTGACTAAAATTGGAACCCGAAAGCAGTACAAGTGACCGATAAAATTCCGAGGGCTTACGATCACCCATTTCAGTATCCGATAAAATTTTGTCTAATTTCGCATTCTCACTTAATGAATGCCTTTCAATTAAAATTTTCTTAAGTGCAGTAAATTTATTATTTTCGGGCGGATTTTGAATAAAGTCTAAAATCGTTATTATAACTTCTTGCGGAAGTGCAGTAATTGTATGTTCATACTTTGTTGTTTCTTGTGTAATATTTTTGGTACTAAACTGCATTTCCGCATGAATAAACCACGCTTCCGGACAACTTGTCCAGAATTGTGGTAGTTTGACCGATGTAGCACAAATCTCATTACTATTTCGATCGACATACGGATTTGTTAACTGTTCGTTAAACGTACTATTTTGTAAATCAATAAGAGTTTCATTTAAATTATCTCGTGTAGATGTATGTGTATCATGTTGTAGTGAACGAAACATTTTGATTATTTGAATTTGAGCAAATATAAAAAGACCTCGAAAAGGGAAGTTTACAATTTAAAAAAATAAATAAATATTATATATGTAATATTTAATAAATAACAATTAAATTCTTTTAATTTTTAATAAAAATAGTATATATATATATATATATTAAAAATATGAGAACAATACAGCTCACCAGTAAAACTAAGATTGTTGTTGATGTTAGCGCTACTGCTGCGGTCGCTGCTGATGCCGCTACTGCTGCTGGCGTTGATGTTGCCGCTGCTCTGTTGGTGTTGTTGCCGTAAATGTTGCTTCTACTTATTACCGGTATTGATAGTTGCGGCTTGTTGCCGTTGTTGTTGCTACGGCTTGTTGAAGCTGTCGCTGTTTGCAATTTTGTTGTGCGAATGCAAAATCAACAAGGGAGTTACTTTCTGGCAACGGATTTCTACATATTAGGAGTACTATCCAAGTGTTATTGAGACGACTAGTACTTATGTTGTTGTTGACGTTGTTCTTTATATTGTTGTGGTTTTCGAAATATCACGTTGGTGATTTTTGCTAATTGGACTCTTGTGGATTGCTGTTCGAATTCCATTCGCGGATATGAAAATGAAGCTTCTTCTTGTCGGCATCACTTATACATTTTATTGCAGCCTGGTGATAGTTCAATTGTAGTGGTATTAACACCAGTGTTGGAATTACCGCAACAAATACAAATAGTGACAAATTATTTGGGTACACCAAAAGACCAACGACCAGGAATGTGGTGAGGAAATCGTTATTGAGCTCCCGGACGAATGTTGGACTTTTAACTATCAGTGCTACAAGTTTGCACTTTTTTTTTAACTAATTAAAGCTGACCGTATGTTTGATACTGAACACGAATATAAAATAATCAACGACTCCTGGCAGGATCGCCAATTGTGGTGTATTTAATTATAAAATTGTATTTTTCAAAATTTTATTTTTATATAAACTTATTTTTAATTTAACGTATTTTAAATTTCAAAGAAGAAAAAATTCTGAAGTAATCAAACATTTTCTTTTTGATTTACATAAATTGAAAAAGAACTTAATTCAATAATTTCAAAAATAACAAAGTACAAAAATGAACAAAGTACAATAGTAAATAGTATTAACACTACAGTATCATGGCATCTCTGATAGGAAAACGGTAGTTTTCTAATCGTAATCTGACGTTGAATTATTGTGGATTTGAAAATTGTGTGCATTTCTTAAGTAGTTCTTTAAACTCATTTTGGATTTGAAAATGATTCTCTTAATCTTAAAGTAAATAAGATTAAAACAATTATTTATTTATTCCAGGTTAATCGGATTATGCCTTCTACAAAATGAACTACTTCCACTTTTCTTACAACGGCATGTTTTGAAATTTATACTCGGAAGAAAAATTAAATTTCACGATTTGGCCTTTTTCGATCCAATAATATATGAGTCCTTCAGGCAACTTATACAGAATGCTCAATCAGATGACGGAGATGGTATAATACAACGCATGGAGCTTTTTTTTGTGTAAGTTAAATGGAGTATTTCAAGCTATAAATGTTCTATTGTATTAATATAGTATGTATGTACATTTAGAATCGATCTTATGAAAGAGGAAGGTGGAGGAAGTGTCGAATTGCTACCAGGAGGTCGGGAAATTCAAGTTACTTCCAGTAATCTATTTGAATATTTAAGACGCTATACCGAGTACAGACTGATTAAATCTCAGGAAAAAGCTTTAGAGGTAAGTTATAAAGACACTTCTATTTATCTACGTATTAGCGCCGTTTCACATGTTCCGGACCCCTATAAAGCGGTAGCCGGTTTGCAAAGGTAAAATGCATGTGTTGTTTTCAGAGCTTTTGACTATCCGGTGTCCTGTTACATAAACTATTTTACAACCCACCGCCCTTTAACCGGCGACTACAATGTATGACTTGAGCAGCGTCCCGTTTCTTCGATCGAAGTACATTTACTCCGATTTCTTTTTTAAACGTAAAATCTGCTCCCTACTCCTCTTTACCTAAAATATGCTCCGATTGATTTACTTTTTTCCATTCACATTAAGAATTTATTACAAAATAATATGGTAACTTCTTAAATTTTTGCTCAATAACTTCTGTGGCAAAAACCAAGGTTTTGTATAGCGAGGAGTAACAGAAGTTGTCCCTTTTACGCTTCAACATTCATTGCGGAATCACTTTTCATTTACAAAAGCAGGGGATTGATTACGGATCACAAAAATGTTTTGGAAACGTGTATGTTTAGCAACTTGGCAGAGTAGATGTCAACGTGAAGAAAATTTTCAGAGATGAATCTTTTTAAAAATAAATACAGGGACATTCTTAATAATGAAACAGTTGAAAGCTTAAGAAAGAAAGAAGAAAAAGTTCAGAAATTTATACGCCGTCTCATAATTTACTTATTTAAAAAAGTATATAAATTTGTTGATGGAAAGTTCGTTTTGAAAGCTATTAAGGGCCGTTTTCTGAAGTAATCTTTAACTATAAAGCTCTCGTTATATTTAAAGGTTGGATTAAAAATAAAGCTATGTCTAAAGTTAAGCATTTCTATTATCAGTTTTTGACGTATGTATGCTCACTTTATAATTAAAGGTTGCATTAAAAATAAAGCTATGTCTAAAGTTAAGCATTTCTATTATCGGCTTTTGACGTATGTATGTTTCTCGGTTGTAAATCAATTTAAAACCGATAATAAAATGCTTTACTTTAGATACAATCATAAATTTTAATGCATCCTTGAGCTTTAAATACCAAAATTTAGGGACAGTCTGGCAAAGCGCTAGTTCCGCCCTATAAATTTCAGAACTGTCTCTGAACTACTGCAAAAGGGATGCAGAGTTGGATGGTTGAAACTCATATGTTGCTAGTTGCGCTGTCATCAATGTTACTCATCCTGGTCATGTGAAAGCTGACAAAAGATGCACAAATGTAATATACTATATTTTTTCGATTTTCTTAGACCCTAATACTAATAACAAACTGTTTTCGTTTATTTAATATATAATTCTCTATGTAATATTGATGCGCCTAAAAGATGCAGCGATTTCCACTCTCAATTACATGCCTGGTGACAGTACGAATTTGAATTGCTTTAAACTTCCGTTCTTAAAACTTCCATTCGTACTGTCACCAGGTTAATTTAATAGCGAGGTTTTAGTTTTTTAAACTATAATTTTTTTATTATTATACATATCTACGTACGTATAAAATTGAGTGCAAAATATATAATTTAGTTAAGCTACACTTGACAGCAAAGGTTTGTGTACACCATTTCTTTTTTAAATATTCACAATATATTGAGAGTTAAAATCTGTTATTATTTAAATGATCATGCTTAAAATAAAATCCCATAAACCGTGTCTTAAAACTTTATACAAAACAAAGTTAAATTTAACGATTTTTCATCAAAATGTTTGACCATTTAATCAGATTTAAAAAAAGAAATAATCAAAAGTGGTAACCAATCTCACTTTGAAATGGGGGTGCTATTGATATGAACGATACTGTATATACGTAAATATATCACTGAGCACTCGAAATGTGTAGTTATGCAGTGATTTTTTTAAAACCCAATGTTTTTCATTTTAAGTATTTTCCGTTTAGTTTTTATTTAAGTACTATGTCTCATCTATATCTTCTATACTAATTATATAAAGAGAAGTCCCTTTTTTTTTGTAACAGGTAATCTCGCGAACGGCTGGTCCGATTTTCATGAAATTTTGTATACAAATAGCTTTCGGTAACCACCATGTTTTAGGCTAAAAATTTTACTTTTTTTTCGGGTAGGTGGACCAGGGACCGGTCTATTCGAAAAAATCTTATTATAGTCCGATTTGCTTAAAATTTAGTACGTAAGTAGCTTTTTAGCATATATTGGCATATATGACCCATTTTTTCCGGGAAGTGGTCCAGGGACCGATCTATTCGAAAAAATCGCATTTACGGTCCGATTTGCTTAAAATTCGGTGCGCAGATAGCTTTTTAGCATGTATTAGCATATGTGATAAATTTTTTCCGAGAAGTGGACCAGGGACCGATCTATTCCAAAAAATCGCATTTATGGTCCGATTTGCTTAAAATTCGGTACGTAAGTAGTTTTTTAGCATATATGATCCATTTTGTCCGAGAAGTCCGAAGTATGGTCCGATTTGCTTAAAATTCGGTACGTAGATAGCTTTTTAGCATATATTAGCATATATAATCCATTTTGTCCGAGTAGTCGACCAAGGACCGATCGGTTCGAAGAAATCGTATTTATGGTCCGATTTGCTTAAAATTCGGTACATAGGTAGCTTTTTGCCTGGATAAGCTTATAGATTCCTGTTTTCCAATTTTCATGCAATTTCGAATATAAATAGCTTTACGTAACGACCATATCAAGGGGCGAATTCGTCACTAGGCAAGATTTTTTTGCGCCAATCAGAAATAACGGATACTGTCAAAATATAATTATAATATATAATATATCTCAACTAATTTATATTTAGAAAGCCGTTTATTAGTTTTCGCAAGGCTCGAGAGCGGCTGAACCGATTTTTTTGAAACTGCCACCTGCCGCACGTGTCCCAAGGATGGTTTTAGGCTGAAAAAAATCTATTTGTAAAGGGGGCGTGGCACTTCCCATAAAAACCGAATTTCTCATGCTACATATCTCTGAAAGTGTGCATGGTAGAGTTTTGGAAATTGGTATGGAGATATACGAAATCGATCGCATACCCTTGGAGAAAAATTTTAGCTATAGTAAAAAGGGGTGTGACATCTCCCATACAAACCGAATTTTTCATACTGCTTATCTCTGGAAATTTTTTGGTAGAGTTCTAGAGTTTTGTATGGAGATGTACGAAATAAATCGCATACTCTTGGAGAAAAATTGGAACTATTGGAAAAGGGGGCGTGGCATCTTCCATACAAACCGAATTTTTCATACTGCCTATCTTTGGAAGTGTTCATGGTATAGTTCTGGAACTTGGTATGGAGATATACGAAAGCAATCGCATACTCATGAAGAAAGAGGGCAGCTGTTGGAAAGGGGGGAGTGGCTCCTCCCATATAAATCGAATTTTTATACTGCATATCTCTGAAAGTATTCATGGTACAGTACTGGAACTTCGTATGGAGATATGTATATAGTTGAAATCAAGCCCATACTCATGGAGAAAATTTGGGCTATTTGAAAAGGGGTGTGAGGCCTACAAACCTACCTTTAGCTATCTTTTAATGAATTTTGTAGGTGTGGTTGTGAGTGAAATCCTCCTAAGTGGTTGTACGGATTTTAACGAAACTTTTTGTGCATTGGAGTGGGTCTCTGGATGGTTTAGTTTCACAATTTAATCCGACAATTGGCGCTGTAGTTGAGTTATTACTAAAAATCTTATTTATGATCCGATTTGGCTAATGTTTTAAATATGTATGCAATACTATTGCAAAAACGTGCTGCCAAGTGGTGCTGAAGTCGAGCTATTACTAAAAATAGCCAAGTGAGGAAAGGTGCCGTGAAGGTCAGATTAAATCGACCTGTTGCACCATTGAGTATATCGACGGTCCTGCGTTGCATTGGCCCAATGGATGTGATTTTCCAATACTATTATGCGTTCAAACTTTTAAGGTATTTCGTCTGAAATAAGTATATGTATACTGCATTTCTGTAGAACAATGATTCGCGGGGAGTCTATGTATAACATTTCAATACATTTAATACAATTTAACGCTGAGCTATCACAAATAAGCATTCAATATATCACCGTTTTTATCATTTTTTGACACGATTTAGTTTAGATTTTTAATTATAAGTATCACAGAAATACCCAGTATACGTATCAAATATAAATTATTTTTAAGAATAACGGTTTTAGAAAATGAAGGAATAATTGACATCTTATGTTCCTAATTTTAAAGCACAGTTTGCCTCAAAAAGTAAATTAGTGCAAAACAAATAGCTCTTTAAACATAAAATTAAGTATTTTTATTTACAAAATTGTATGCGTGCTTATTTAAAGAAAACGCTCTATACTTCTTAGAACCAGCTCAAAACTAACCACATTTTTTCTAGCCCGGAGGTGACCCTTTTTAAACTATCTAAGAACTGTTGTTATATGAACTGTCTCAGAACCATCTAAGCCAGAGTCAGCTCAGAACAAGTTCAAAACTTCTGCAGAGAGCGACACTTGTCACTTCGTAGGACATCGCCATGTTAAAAAGGACAGTTGAAAGCATTGAGTTAGGATAGATGAAGAACCAGTACCGTCCCTTTTCAGGCTAGCTCAGCGCAAGTAGGGTTAAGTTACAGGTTGCTTGAGAAAACGGCCCTAAGCTGATTTACAAGCACTCCGTGCCAATGCTTTACAATTACAATGTAATAGCCTATTTTTACCAAAAGCTTAACTGCAGTTAAAAGCTCAGATAAGTACCAATTATTTTAACGTGGGGTGATTGGCAATGTTTATTTCTCACTTTTTGCTTTCATACTTTCGTTTGCTTGTACTTAATATAACCAATTACCCCATTCGAGTGATATTCTCGTTTTTCCAACGGGCATACTTTCGTTTGCTTGTACTTAATATAACCAATTACCCCATTCGAGTGATATTCTCGTTTTTCCAACGGGCATAAACTGCAGTTAAGGCTTGGTGGAAATGCCCTATAAACACAATGTGATGAATTGAAAAACTACCTGTAATATACATATACACACACATACATATATGTTTATATCCAACGGGGC